TGTGACGATTTGTTAACCTAATGAATAATTGATTTGTTAAATCAAATTAAAATTAGTGTGTCAGATTGGTCGAGACGCTACATTACTGTGTTATTTCTGTGTTATTACTGAGCTATTCCTGTGTTATTACTGTGTTATTCCTGTGTTATTTCTGTTGTCACTGAGTTATTCCTGTCTTATTTCTGCGTTATTCCTGTGTTATTACTGTGTTATTCCTGAGTTATTTCTGTTATTACTGTGTTATTACTGTGTTATCCCTGTGTTATTTCTGTTGTCACTGAGTTATTCCTGTGTTATTTCTGTGTTATTAATGTGTTAATTCTGTGTTATTCCTGTGTTATTTCTGTTGTCACTGTGTTATTACTGTGTTATTAATGTGTTATTCCCAAGTAATTTCTATTACTAATGTGTTATTACTGTGTTATTCCTTTGTTATATTTGTGTTATTAAAGTGTTATTCCACACATGCAAAGTATGTTGCAGCTGTTATTTCTATGAAATTATGTTGTCTTTGCTATTCTGTTACTAATAAAATAGTTTTTTTCACTGTTTATCCTATTTTGGCACAATCCGTAAACTGAACTTGAGTAGTTTTACTAAGGGCACCCATCTCACATGAAATTGAACTATGTCAAACATATTCTACCTGCCTTCCTGTTATAAATTACTATGAATTTGATATGGTAATTAATACTGAGACACTAATTTGGGCAAAAAGCACTAATGACTTGTTTAAGACTTGAATCTTACAGCTGAGGACTTGCAACTCGACTTGGACTTGCCTGTCTTGACTCGGGACTTGACTTGGGACTTGTCTGTCTTGACTCGGGACTTGACTCGAGACTTGAATGCAAAGACTCGAGACTTACTTGTGACTTGCAAAACAATGACTTGGTCCCACCTCTGGAAAATACAAATTCTGTGGACAAGTGACCGATTTCAGCCGCAGCTTTATGGGATTACAATTCTGCCACAATTCTGCGCTCGAAAGATCATATTTTGAGTGCGCAAAAGTGCGTTTTGCATGCGCGCAAACTGAGTTTTGTGGAGAAAACGTTTGTCTCGAAAAGAAGAAAGTATTTTGAGCGCACGAAAATCAATTTTGCATTTAAAATAAGTTTTTGGATGTGTGCAGACCTTCTCTTTTGCGCCTGCAACGTTTCACTAGGTTGCTCACCTGATGCCAGCCCTCAGTGCTTGCTAAATGCCAACAGCTTGCTTGCACAACACAACCCAGCGTTACAATGTGCCATAATTCCAGCCAATCAGAGACGAGGCTGCTAAATTGTGATTGGCTGCCTTGACAACCAATCACAACATTTCTTGCATTACCTCGACAGCAAAAGAGGAAAAATACAGTGCTCAAAATTTATTTTCGTGCGTTTGAAATACTTTCTTCTTTGCGAGACAAACATTTTCTCCACAAAACTCAGTTTGTGCGCATGATCTTTCGCGAGCAGAATTTTGGCAGAATTCTAATCCCATACGGCTTCAGCGTCTATTTTATAGTGTAGCTGTTTTGGCGGAAGTGACGAACTGCAAGCTTTGAATGCTTATATATTCTAAATGCGAATTATGTCACTGTTTTGGAGCACACTGCCTTATAGATAACCTGAAGACTAACATATTGATACTAACACCCAAAAAACTTTAATTACGTTATTGTTGTGAATCATCCTCAAGGCAAAAGCCAAGTGGAGATTTTCCGATTCGTTGAGAATGAAAATACTCTTCAATACATCAAGGCCATCAAGCATGAACTCCTGCTCAAGTATGTGCTTATTTCAGTATATTTAAAATATTTCTGTAACTCTAAACCTGATCAGAAATTAAATTCCAGTTTATTTATCTGCATTTGTTAGTGTGAATGACATAGTCGCTGTGGGGACCGAAAGCTTTTATGCCACCAATGATCTTTACTTCACAAATGGGATTCTCAAGTTTGTGGAGCCGTTTCTGTCTTTGCCCTGGTGTGACGTCGTCTACTACAGCCCTCAGACCCTGCAGGTTGTGGCAGGGGGCTTCTTGATTGCCAACGGCATAAAAATCTCCCCTGACAAAAGGCAAGAATTTTCATTGATTAAAGCTCAGTATGATAATATTAATAATATTATCAACACATTTCTCATGTTCTCTTGTGTTGTTAATACAAATAACATAATTTATTTCAGGCATTTGTATGTGTCAAATATCATGAAGCACAAAATTAGTGTCACGAATCCGGTCCATGAACTTCCAATTTCATTGACTCTCGCACTACTCACTTTTGCACATCACCCCGGATTTCCCATCATGCATTGCACTGATTGCACTCAGCACGGATTACACAGAGCTGTTTACACTGATTGCACCCAGCTGTTTCATATCACTCCCTCACTATTTAACACTCACTCTGATCCCTTCCCTCTGCCGAGTATTGTCTAGCGTTTATCACTCTCCAAGCGATAGCTACTCTACCGAGCCCTAAGTCGTTCCCTAAACTAAACCCAAAACTTGATATTTGTGTCCCATAATAAATATGAGTTTTAGCTTTATTGGCTGTGTTAGCTTTAGATAAACAACCATGAAAGCGCATTATGACAGGTTTTTTTTAGGAGAACACTGCTAATGTGTTAATATTGTTAATATTACTGCATGGTATTTTTTTCTTACCCAGGAGGTTGATGTGGGGTCAGTCTGTGACAACATTGAGGTGGACCATGAATCTGGAGATCTATGGCTGAGCTGCCACCCAAATGGTCTCAAATTCATGCTTAGTGATCCGAATGATCCACCGGGCTCTGAGGTGCGTGTGTGTGTGTATTCTGTGCATGTATGTAGCAAACAGATATTTATTAAAGAATGTGTATTCATTTTATTTGTTGGCAATTTGACATTCCTATTTTTCTCCATTATTTACTGTTTGCTCTCAGCTGTAAAACAGTACAAATCAATAATTCCATGTTCTCCTGTAGGTTATCAGGATTGAGAACATCTTCTCTGAAAAGCCCAGGGTGACTCGGGTAGGCTATATGCAGATGATGGCAGTGTGATTGTTGCTTCTTCGGTGGCAACTCAATATGGAGGAAAGCTGCTCATAGGAACCGTTTATCAGAAAGCTCTGATCTGTGACCTTAAATTGTGAATGTACTCACTTGCGGGGAAGAATAAATATTGGCTCAAGTGTTTGAAAGAATTTGTTTAAATAGAGTCATTTTAAAGGCAACACAAAACAAAGTAAAGTACTTTTGTAGGGTAAAGTTTGAAAAATCAATCCATATGGTATAAATTTGGCTTAACCCTATAAATAAGGCTGATTGGGTTGAATTGGGAAGAATAAATAAATATTTGACTTGGATAGGGCATATCATTTCAGATAAAGGTTTTTTCAACAAAGAAATTAAAGAGTGGACATGCTAATTATATTTGGCTTGTTGATCTCTAAAATGTCATTTAGTGCCAACATTTTTCTGAGGTGACATGCTATACTTGAATTATAAAAGTTTTCAAATCATCTCACGAGTTTGCATTTCATTTGGGTAGAGTGAAACTTGTAGTTTTGAGTTAACTTATGATTTGATTTTACAATAATATTTTAATAGTATATGATGTCAATGAAAATTAATAATTTGAGTGAACCTTACAAGCATTATCCCACCAAACTGATAGTTTGATAGTAACAGATAATACTTTAATGTGTTGCAACTATGTGTTGAAGTGTTTTGGATGTCTTTTTCTCATGTGTCTCTTCCTCACACAGGATAGAAGAACTTAAAAATTGGGTTGTACTTTGTTTGTTGTTCCTAGTGAAAAATTAAGCATTGAGGTTTTTTTTTTTTTTTTTTTAAAGGCTGGCCATTTTTGATTGATAAAACCAAGAATGGCCAAATTGTACCTTGTAATATGAATGAGTGAGATTTTGTGCAACTCTGAATATAATATAATGCAAACTGTATATTGAAGAAAAGGAAGGCAGTGTGGTTGTCACATGTTTTGAAAGAAAAAGGGCATCCAAACTAAGCAAGCCAAAGGCCTTTTTCTTAACGACTAAAATAATCTGTGTTCAAAACCCTTGCTACTAAAGCATTACTAGAGAATCAAATAATTGTAGCCTGTGTGTATGTGTTTGTCTATATAAGAGCAACAATATATTTTTTGACATTGTAAATAATTTATTAACTGGCACTTTAATGTTGAGTGATTTAGTTAAGTTGATTACTCTGGAATCATCCTTCTGTTCAATTATTAGCACAGTCCTGTGAGTTCTGTGTATATGTTTATGACTTAATGTAGCTTCTGATTTTTATTTTACATGATTATGAAACAAATTGTTTTGATTATGAAAAGTATTTTATGTTGATTTGCATATTACACACAAAATGGTGTGCATGATACCAAGTTGAGTGTTCATTAAAACCAATGACTTAAAAGTAATGTTACTGTGAATTTTTCTTCTTTGTAGAACAGTAAAGTTATGAGAGGCATTTCAATGAAATAGAAAACGAAGCATCACATCATAGTCACAATCTAGAGGAAAATCTATGATTCTGTCCATATGAGAGGAAAAAGACTATACGGGAATAGCAAAAAAAGAGAAAATGTGAGCACTCTTTACTTACAGCTGATTATCAGCATGAGTAAGGGCTTTATTCCAGTCTCAAGTGTGCTGCTGACTAAAGTCATAAACAAAGTCGTAAGTGCTGGGCTCTTTGGGAACAGGAGGAGGGACGTCAGGAATCTGAATGTTTTCGAGGTCCAAAAGGCGAAGTTTCAGCTCCATAGTAACCAGAGTGTCCATATCTGATTTTGTGAGCTCACTTGTCATCTCTTTTCCCAAAAGAGCATTCAAGCCATCAGTCCAAATGCAGTACTAGTGAGAAAAAAAATTGTAAGAGAGTATTATTAAGCATTCAAGCAGTGCATGAGTGATAAAACTGATTTCACAGTATTAAAGAAATACTCTTAATGGCTTTGATGTCCACATGATGAGGTGATACTGTTAGCTTATGAAAAACAAATGTTCTTTATCTTTCCACAAAACCAAAATCAATTCTAAATGATTGAACGTAATGTAATGTAATGTAAATTCTACATGACTGTCCTGGAGCCTATTTCATAAAACAAGTTAAATACCAAATAAGCCAGGCTTATTTCAGTTAGTCTGACTTATTTTGAAACAAATTAACTGACAATAAATTAGACTAACTGAAATAAACCTGACTTATCTGGTAAACTTGTTTTAATGAAACAGGCCCCTGGCCTATAGGCTTAGATCTGTGCCACAATTCTGTGCGCGAAAGATCATATTTTGAACGCACAAAAGTGCATTTTGCATGCGTGCGATCTGAGTTTTGTGGAGAAAATGTTCTTTTCGCAAAGAAAAAAGTATTTTGAGCGCACGAAAATCAATTTTGCACTTAAAATACGTTTTTTGATTGTGTGCAGACTTTCTCTTTTGTGCGTGCAACGTTTCACTAGCTTGCTCCCTTGATGCCCGTCCTCAGTGCTCTCTAAATGCCAACAGCTCGCTTGCTCAACACAACCCAGCGTTACAATATGCCATAATTCCAGCCAATCAGAGACGAGGCTGCTAAATTCTGATTGGCTGCCTTGAAAACCATTCACAACATTTCTTGCATTACCACGACAGCAGAAGAGGCTGTGCACTTTTGTGCGCTCAAAATATGATCTTTCCGCACAGAATTGTGGCAGAGATGTAATCCCATACTGGCCTTGTATATGCTGTGATATAGGCCTACTCACTTCACGCTTGTCCGGAGCAATGAAGTTCAGATATTCATCAGAGTTATGAAGAATGGAATAAGCCAGCTCCAGCAGCTCCTGAAAAGCAGACAAAGTATAATAATCTTCCTCTCCCACAACTCCCAGTTGAATTTTACTACAGGTGCCTTTGCACAACAGATGGCTTCTGTCACCGCTACAACCTCCTCCCAAAGTCACCCAGCTGGAGTGCTGAGTTTCCAACGAGGTCAATTTAGAACTATAAAGTGCTGATACTGATCAAGTTTTTAAAATAGGCCTAAGTCTTAAGAGAGGAATATCCTTTCATTTATTACAAATTTATCGGCAAATGTGCATCTTTAACATGAATGATAATGACAAAAAAACGTCATATTTGACATTTGATAGAATCTTTATTTTGAAACGTGAAAGCACAGCTAACAATCTGATAAACTGTTTATTGACAGAAAAGTACAGTACAGGATGCATTTCAGGAAATATACAGTAAATATACATGGATTATTACAGTGCTGTGTGGATGAACAGTTATTTGTTTGTTTCACACTCTGAAGATCAGATAGCAGCAGCAGCAGCTAGCGGCGCAGCTCACATCTTGTCTCCAGAATGCAGGCAGGTGAGGCAGCAGGTGATGCAGGGCTCAGGTGATGAGATGCTCCGAACAGTATACCAATACAGAATGCACATAAATGGAATGATATAAAGTTGGAGGATGTAGATTCTATTTTAGATTGTGGTGGAATGATATAAAGCTGGAGGATGTGGATTCTATTTGAGATTGTGATAGACCAGATATATTTGATAATTTATACAGTCTTGTGTCTCCTGAAAGAATACAACTGAGTGTAAACTCAGTTTGAAAAATTTTGTGTTAAGGAAGAATTACAAGCAGTAGGATGCCAGGAATTTACTATAACCAGCTTATTAAATGACGGTCCAAATTCAGGAAAACAAATACATGCAGAAGAATAGTGGGTTATATAAAGATTTGAGGACAGAGTTCCTCAAATCTTGCCCTGGAGGTCCAATGCGCTGCAGAGTTTAGCTCCAACCCTGATCAAACTCAGCTACCTGTGATTTTCTAATGATCCTGAAGACATTGATTAGCATGCTCAGGTGTGTTTGATTAGGGTTAGAGCTAAACTCTGCAGGAAAGTGGATCTCGTGGGCCAGATTTGAGAATCCCTGTAATAGGATATTGGAGGGTTTGTTCATTCTTTTCACACTCCATCACAGTAGGTGGCGATATGCACCTTTGAAGTTGGTTCGCAACTCGCCATTAAATCAAAAGAAGAAGAAGAAGAATGCGATTTTCAGCTTGGGTGAGCCCGAAAAAAATTCCGAAGAAGAAGAATCGCGATATCTATAGCGATTCAATGCTTTCAAAATGTATACACATTAAATTACTACAAGCACGAATTAATGGAGACCTTGAACAGTGTTCGTGCCCTCGCATATCTCCTTCACGCTCTCCATATTTACCGCCTGTGACCGTCAGGATTGCGCTCGCGCTCCGTTCGTCTCACTGAGTACATTTACATGGACAACAATAATCCGATTTTAACACGATTAAGACAATATTCTGATTAAGAATCTACCAGTACTCGTGGCCAGTAATGCTTAAGTGAAGTAGTTTTACTTTTCTGTAGTTTTTCAATGGCTCTCGGTCATACCGACGACAGTCGAAGGCTGTGCATTTATTGCATGGACCAAGCAAAAATTTAAGTGCCTAAAGCATACGCACAGTTCCATTGAATGATAAATGTGTTTTAACAATGTCCTTCAACCGAATGTATGAAGGAAACTGTTAAAAAACACAAAATGTGAAATTTGGTCGAATTCGTTTATGCCATTTTGTACATTACTAAGAAAAACATAAAAATGAAACATAATTCAATCAATAATCAAGAAAAGTGCTTATGGCACATAGTAAAAGAGGATTCTGGGGGTATTGTGTTTTATAAAGCCTGTTTTTGCAAAGTGACACTTGTAGATGCAAAAAAGGACAATTTTACTCGCTTCACTTATAATGCAATAACTCCTGTTTAGAAGCTGTTTTGGAAAGATAATTTTTTCTGGTACATTTTGGCATCTAGTGGCATCAAACAAAGTAAGTTGCAGAGAGCTGGACCTAATAGAACCTGAATAACAGACTTTCAAATAAGATTATTATTATTTTTTTAATCCAAGAGCGCCTATGTTTTTTTAGTGTTTATTGTAATATTTGAAACATATATAATATTATTTATAAAAAATTACACTCATATTTTGTAGTTCAAAGGGTTTTTTTTACAATGAAACCATTCCCCCCCCCCCATTTCCTCCATTGTATGTGTGTAGGGTAAACATTTGAATCTGAGTATGTCAAATTTAGGCAAAAATACCAAAAAACGCCCCAGAGCTTAAGGGGTTAAAATAGCTATCATCTCAGCTGTATATACTGATGCACCATCTGTTATCCTTCCAGCCTTCCTCACCTCAAACTCTGGAACATAGAATGCAGCCCCTGTCCTTCTAGTGCCTTTACTCTTTGACCCGTCTGTATATATTTGAAGAAATGATGAGTAGTATGAATTTTTATATACTCATATACATATGTAATTAAACTAACCACTTCATTCATTTCCCTTCTGTTCTTATGGGAAATTGTGATTCATTCGATTCTTAGCGTTTTAAATCGATTACTGTCCGAAATCGACGATTCGCGATTCAAAAATCCATGTTTCAAGATCGATGCATAGGCCTATGCATCGTCAGGGTTTGTAATCGATGCATCGAGAAAACGAGTGAATCGTTACACCCCTACTTTCCAATGTAAGTTAAATATTAATATAATAATTAGATATTTCATATATTATTTTTGTAGAAAAACAGTGTTTTTACGTTTTATTGGTGCAAAGATGAGTAGTGGTGTTATTTTGTACAACATTTGAATCGGCTTTTTATCACTTAATTAGAAGCACCACAAATTAAAATTATGTCATGTTACAGGGACTTCTGAACAGACATTTAGAAGTTGATTTTAAAATGCAAAGTATTTCAAATTAAAATTAAAATAAATCTATGCAAACACTTGCATTTTTACAGCACTATAAGTGTGTCCCATCAGGTAATGAAAAGTTCGACACACACTTGTGGTCTTCATCCTCACTTGAACACTTGGGCCAAATACAGGAAATATGTCACATAAGTGGTCAAGTGCAAAGACCGCAAGTGTGGGTATTTGGACAAGGCAGAAGTGTGTCGGCTTAGCTCTTCTAATGCCCTGAACATGGCAGATCTGTCGTCAATACATAAACATACACACAGAATACACCAACAGCACTTTAGTCATACGTTATGTTGAACGTAATTGTGTGTGTGTGTGCAAATAAGCTACCTACAAGAGATTCTCATATCATTACCTTATTGCCTACAGTTTGCTTTGACTATAAACAATAACTCAGCTTTAACTATAAACATCTTCTTTTTTGAAAGTTCAGAAAGACACCTGTTGACACAGATGGTCAGGGGACACCACATCTAACCACTAGATGGCGTCAGTTTGACTTCATTGGCGTTGCTGGATTAATTGCTAATTGTTTTCAGCTCATGATGTACCTGTTTGAGGCCACTGTTGTACTCTTGCATTGTTCTGTCTAGAGGTGGTTGTTGTTGTTGACTAGTTATCATCTTGAGTTGAAGCTTGTCTCTGCAACATTTTTTTTCAGTAAAATCAGCCTGCCTTGCGTACTCTGAGTTTGGATCCACTATACACCTGGTCCTGTCCTGTCTGGTGAGTTTAGTTGCAGTAACGAGTTCTTACCTTATTCTTAAGTGCTCCTTTCTCCCTCATGTGTGGGCAGTCTTTACTGGTGACCACTGCTTTGATATCTGCTACTGTCACTAGAAGTAGAAAAAAAATGTTATGTAGAGTTAGCGAAGTTATAACAGTAGAAATCATGTTCTACTTTACTACGAGCATCTAAAATAAGCATGTTTAGCGCTAGCCTTGTCCAAGCTGGTGGCTCAGTATATGGCATCAACAATCAATATGATTAATAAGACAAGCCATTATAGATAAAAAAAAAAAAAACAGTCATTTTCATTTACTTTGTCAGTTATAATCAAAAAGTGTGTTGCTCACCTTTCTCTTGGAGAGAGTCGTGGGATATTTGTCCTTGTGAGAACTCCTCTATATCTCCATAGTGTAACACTTTGTGGTTTGGTGATAGACGGCAATACCAGAACTTGTCTAGAGGAGATGAAGAGAGATGGAAGCAGATAAGAATATGCATTTTATATACTGGCTGTTTTCTTGCATCTTGCTTTTTATTGTCCTCATAATGATCCATTCCAGTTAGGTTTTATAGTTTTTCTCCCCCCCCACTAGCAGGTCAACAGCACTGTAAATGAAAATCAGATTTTAATGAAAGCAGTGGTGAGAAAATCACTTTTGATTAAAAGCCTCATTAAGTCTGTGCTTGTGACTAACTGGCTGCCCTTTCATGCTGAATACTTGCTGAATATTTCATATCAATAGGTTTTGAAATAAACATGATAAAGAGGTCACAATAATATAGATTTCTCTTTTTTTGAAAGAGAGAGAGAGCAAGAGAGATACAATGCAGCGTCCCAAATACAGAATGAGATTATCTTTTTAATATATTGATATCCTTAAGTTGTGCTTTAATATAATGCAGTATCAAACAGACCAAACATTAGGATAAGGTACTCAGGGGAACATATAAGCTTGTGATGCCCTATATTTGAGTAGATTATTGAAAATGTGCATAATATGAATAGACATTAAGCCATAGGAAGAGTTCAAATACAGTGTCTTCTTTCAACTTATGTATAGCCAATATCAATGAATTCGATGTGATGTTTTTGATAGTGGTAGCTAAACATTACGTCTATGCAATTGTGATCAGATCCAACAAATGGCTTTTCTGAAATTGGAACTGCATCCGTGATGCATAAATAAATTTACCAGTGCACATGTAATTGTATTCTGATTTTGAATGAGTAACTGACCTTGTCTGCGACGAGCACTGATCTTCCTAAAGCATGTGCCCTCACACAGGTGGTTCAACCTCTGCTGTTTAATCAGCTCGATCACCTCTGGCTGGAGCTTCTCACGGAGTTCTCTTTAGAAATTGAAATCAGACACATTAGCTTAAACCAGCAACAAACCAGTGGCTTATTCCATCATGAAGAACGCACTCCTTTTAAAAACATAAGAAGCAGCAGAATGAAAAAAGAAAGCAAGGTTTTGAGACACAATTTTAAAGTCGCCATGAGATCAAAAGTGCCTGTTTGTATTTTATGGAATATTGCAGTGTTTGTTAATGATTTATCCATGCACATAATTTTGAAAAATGTATACTCATGACTTCTCTTCCATTCCAAGATTATATCTCACAATTCAGACTTTTTCTTGCAATTCTGAGAGGGAAAAAAATCATAATTGTGAGAAACTCAGAATTCTATTTTATTTTTCTCTGAATTGAGTTCACTTTACATCTTAATTTTTTTTCCTGCCATAGAATAAAAATAATAGAAAAGCTAATTGTGACTTCTCACATTCTTGACTTTTTTCTTACAATTGCGAGTTTATATCTGCCAGTTCTGACTTTTATTCTTAGAATTGTGTGAAAAACTCCGAATTGTGAGGAAAGAAGTCACACTTAGTCATTTATTTATTTAGACAAAGGCCTTCCATACGTTTCACTCTATACATAGGGCTGCACAATTTGGGGGAGAAATGTTAGAGCTGCACAATTTAGTGCATTTATCAATATGGCTATTAAATAATAATAGTAATACATTTTTTGTGACTTTTTATCTAATTTGGACTCTTAATTCTGATAATTGTGAGAATAATAGTAAGTGTATTATTATTATTATTATAAAAAAAAAAGAAAAATAACAGTAACAATATTATTGTAATTTTTTATTATTGTGAGTAGTTAAGAAAAATATTATTTTTTTTACATTACAACTATAAAACTACAATAATATTTATGCTTGTCATAATATCTTTATTTTCACATTTTAAACCATCAAACTTCTATTTTCACAGAAACATTGAGTTTCCTTTTATATCTCTCTTGTTAAGTGCTTCTCATTACAAGTATGGGAAGTATTTCCTAATGCACATTAAAATGACCCAAACTCAGAGCAGGTGCTGCTCCACACAAACTTCATCTTTGCGTTTACTATGAACCGAGATGCTGCAAACACCTGCAGATCATGAGCTGCTCACATGTAAGAGAACACAATGCTGCACTTCACTCTGAAACACACAGCACATACTTTTCATTAAATTGCAGCATTTGTGATATGATAATCTCGATTTTGGTTTTATTTCTATTCTAAGACCATTGCAGCTTCCGTTTAATGCTGACTTTAAATGTTTTTTTTTTTTTTTATGTGGCACAGTGTTTTTAAAAAGCAAAAAATGAAAAGCAGCATGAAGCACAGTGGTGTTTTGAGGGAAAAACACCATTAAAAGGATCGCAATCGAATGGGAAAAAAAACTGTTTTGGAATATGGTGGCTGGTCCATTAGTTAATGGCCACCTAAGATGCATATAGCAGAGTATACACTTAAGGAAATGTAATTATGAACTAAACAAGAAACTGATGTCTGACAGGACATTCATAACCAGCAGTGAATTGCTTTATGAGTTCTGAATGTGGTTTCTAGACTATAAGAGGATGTACTTACAGCATTGGGCGTGATTTGGGGTCATCCTGGCTCAACATCTCTGACTTTAGCAAGGGCCTGTGAGGCCTGGCACTGTCCACTGTGTTAAACTGCAATGTGACACTTTGGGTGGCATACCTTTTCTGTTTTTTCTCTGCCTAAAGAGGTAGAGACATAGCCCTTCAAATAATTGAATCAACACATCTTTTTGCTTTATTCATAACTTGATTTTCATTGGCTTGAATGCCTGGAGGCTTCACCAACTGTCATTCTAGTTCACTCTGTTGAAGAGTGTTTTGTAATTTAACATCATTTGCTGTTGGCTTCACTGCAGTTTATTCAGTCTGAGTCTTCTCTTATGTAATACTTTTATCTGTGTGGCTTAATGGAGTTTTTCTTTATCTCAGACCTTGCATGCGTTCGTGTGACCGTTGGGTACGGGCCTGGCACAGTGCTGGGGTCTGGCAGGGGGAACTGAGGAGCTCTATGGGATTAAGGCCCTGTCAGTCTAATCTCCAACAGTGCTGTGACACAGTCAGAGCCTGGAGACAAACATGCTGACATAGTGCACTGAAGAGATTGGGCCAGCTAATGTCTGTATAGAGGACACATTGGTTATGGTTAATTGCTCGGTTGTCATGTTTTGTCTTATTGTACTGTACGAAATTTTTCCATGCTACAGCATCTGTTTCTGTCTGTGTAAATCATCACGATTTCTATTTGGGTTTAGTTTTTTTTTCATCAATATGTAAATTCATGGTGGTCAAAATTCATTCAAGGTTTTAGCTTTCACCATTTTGCCTTTTAAAATGAAAAGTTTTATTCTTTGTAGTGTGGGAGACAATGTGTTCTTTTTAATGTAATTGACACTTAAGTGTATACTTAAGCATTTGGATGGCACTATGGAAATACATTTTCATGACTCGAGTCAATATCTGAAAAAAGGGTTAAAGGAGGGAAATATCCTTAGGCACATAATAAAACAAGACCAAGTAGAATAAAAAGTGTCTAAGAACATTCAAGTTTTAATATACTGAATATGCAGTGTAGAAGAATTATTTTTTGCACCCTCAGATTCCAGATTTTCAAATAGTTGTATCACGGCCCAATATTGATTGTCATATATAAAAATGTTTTATTATAAATGACAATTAATTATTCTGACTTTATTCACCATGCGTCAGATTAGTTTCATTATACAGCCTGTCCAGACAAACAGATGAGTCCTCTAAATGGTAAAAATATTTACATATAACATATTTTGCTATTAGTCATCAGTATAAATAAAATGATAATGGAGGCTATAATATTATAAAGCAATGAGCAATAATTCACACCCTCCCAGTGACAAAGCAAAAGACTATTGAAGACATAAGCTATAAATGGACCCCCTTCACTAAAAAGCAGGGAGTCCTTAAATATGAGTAATAATCAGAAATTGTGTTTGTATTCCAAAACGCGCACACACACAAAGCAGATATAATTTTAGGGGTTTGTATAGAAAAGCTATATCTTTTTCCTGATGTGTTACAAAAACATGAATTGACTGTACAGTACTTTAAAAGAAAAAATATTTTAAATAGGTCTGCCAACTTACTCCATTCTAATCTGCTATGATCATGCAGTGATGGCAATAACAAAACATCACCCAATCATTCAGTTCTTCAACTACTCCTGTGATTCTCAGGTGTGAGTAGAGTCAGTTAAGATTAAATACGGTCACTGAAAGGCTTTCTGTACTTACATGTCCAGTGTGTCAGTGCTGAAACTGCATGTGTGTATATAGAAAAGGCTTGAACCATAAACACTGTTAGCTGGTCACAGTGTCAGCGGGGCGAGATCAAAGTAACGCAGGCAACAGCAGATGCTCCTACAGCCAGAATAGTTCCCTCAAAAGTAGAAGATCCCCTCTTCTAGTGGGTATGAGAATGAAGACAAAGTAGTAGAACCCAGTGTAGTATTTCACATTGACTCCTCACTGAAAGAAAGACACTGTTCTGAATCGTAAGTATGCTGCTTTGCTTATGTTTATATGAGTGAACCACACCGATTGGACAGATGCCTTCGTGGTGCCAGCCAATGAACAGCTGGCTATGGTCACATGGGTAGATCACAGAGGGAGAGCATGAGCAGGTTGGATGGGGGATGGGGGATGGGGGATGGGGGAGGACAGGACCAAAAGATAATGACTTGGACCATCTGGCTAAATTTCAGAGGGCTTGTGCTGCTGGATATTGGGAGCACCGTGAGATACAAACAGCCATGATGAGAGTCTATGACATTTATTGTGAAAAAGAAAAGGTGTGACAAATGAAACGCTGAGATCCAGTAGCATCGTTCTCCCTCAAAGCAAAAGCCAGGGGTGTAGTCATTAGAATTCTGTTGTCATGGAAACCGGTTCAGTGTGGCCTGTCGGGCTGGTGGCGGGACTCTCTGTCTACCCCTGCCTTACACAATAAGAGCCTCGCAGCCTGTTCCTCTACACTCCCATCTTCTGTCTTCTTGACATGCAGTACATAAACGAGTTTGACAAGGCCACATCATGTCTGTGAGCGGAGATGCTGTGATTCATGGACTGCATCGAGTATATGTTGGTATGAGGCAGATTAGAATTTCAAATGGTTTTGGTTAAGATAAAGGTTAGTCACCAGGTAAGGGATGCGCTGTAGGGTTTGTTTTAATATAGAATTCAGGTTTCTTTTCCTCTGCATTTTATGATGCAGGCTGGTTTATGTTAAAGCAGTTGATTGAAATATAAATTGCTTTGACTTTCTGGAAGTGAAAATTGTCATGTACTCACCCTCATGTTGTTCTAAACCTGTATGATTGACTTTCTTCTGTGGAACACAAAAGGAGATGTTAAGTAGTGTGTTCACACTGCTCTTTTCTTACAGTCAAAACACAATAATGCATTTGGGATCCAGATATTACCAAAAAGCCTCAAAGTAGTCTGTAAGCCCTATATGATATGCTCCAAATGTTTTCAGGTTACTTGGAATATAGCGTTTGGGCTTTTATCGTGCTTTTTATTTTTAAATAATTTTTAGGGCTTGATCATTTGTTTTAACACTAGTGTAAAATAGTGATTGTGGTTGATGTGATTGTTCCCCATAATTAGGGAATAATTCCTCTGTTTGTTGAAAGATCCAATTATTAAACTGAAAAAGGTAATGGTGCACAATGTGTGTTCTTTTTATAGTGTGAAAAGAGGCTATTTTTTTAATTTGTCCACAAAACTATGAAATCCAGGTTATCACAGTGGTTGCAGAAACCACAAGACTACCATATAATACTACAAAGGATCAGATGCATACTCATACGCCGAATAAACATACACTGCCATTCAAAAAGTGTAAATGTTTTTTGACAGAAGTCTCATGCTCAGCAAGGCTACATTTATTTATCTAAAATCAGTAATATTGTCACATCAGTAATCATATTACAATTAAAATATCAGTTAGTGTTGGGTGGTTTAACCTAAAAATCTGTATCACTTTTTTTTTTTTTTAGGATTCTGGTGGTTTTACGGTTTATCACGTTTTTTCCCCCCCTGACTGTTCCTTTATATGAATTCGAATGCAAGAAACAGTTGCAGAACCACTGCATTTTAATCATTTTTGTTTGATCCGAACAAACATGCTACATATCTACCTTTTTCTTCAACGCAGAAGCAAGCCTATGGGCAAGACTTCCGGTTCATTAGCCTCTAGCGAAATAACGAGAAGAATAACAACGTGTAGTAAACGGTAAAACTGTTTGCACTACAATCCAGTGTGTTCATTAAAATAATATGGTAAGACACACCTATTTTCAATATAAAGCAGCAAAACGAAGCGTTTTGTACAGCTGAAAATAGTTGGAATGCAAATTAGACCGGAAGCTAGAACCATAGAATTTACAAATGGCCGTGCGTGCCCATTTTTGCGAGAAGAAAAAGGTGGATAGCATTAACAGCTTTCTGTATGTAAATTAGATTGTATTATTTCAGAATTTAAAGCAAAAACTGAATCGTCTGACCTTAGCTTTGTGATATTATGCTACATAAAACATCAAACAAAATAAAAATGTGCTGAATGAGACGCAAACTCACTCACTGACAGCAGGTGGCGTTTATGGAACAACTGCATTATAGCATTTCCTTGGAGGTAAGATGAAAAGAAAATGCTATCTAAACTTTTCTGAAGACGCCGTTCTCCTCAAAAATGTATATAAACTCCTCACCCTCAGTTCAGTATTGTTCTTTTCTGCGCATCGTGAACGGTGAGCTTGATCTGTCTGCTGCAGTATTTTCTCCTCTTTGCATCAGTCTTCAGCATTTCTGGCTTCTGTTAACGGCCGTTGACAGTTGGTTTATTTGCCCCATTAAAGAATTAGTAACCGTGATCTCTGCTCAATTGACGACGCTGTGTACTGGTGTGTTCAAGTCATGTCGGATAGATCGTATTTAGGAGTTGAACACACTTAAACGCCAGTCGTTATAACGAGTGGGAAACTCAATTTTCTTTAAGCCCTGAGTTTCTGAGTTGGGGGTGAAAGAATGTTGGATGCAATGCAGCCAAAGACTATAGATATGCAGCAACTGTATTGACGGTAAATTTGTTGAAATTAATACAATTCTTTTTTTGTCATGTACAATAAGGCTATATAAGTTACATATACAAAATATTGTAGAATTAATGATTCAGTTTACATCAACTTCATAAATTGAATAAAACCAGAAAAAAGCAAAAACACAATGCACTTTATTTATTCAACATTTTGTAGATGTAGAGTAAAAAAAAAAAGTAGAATTTTTATGTAGAAAAGTTGAATCGCCATCTTCTGACCAAAGTGACTTGAACACACCTTGACTCCAACTCGGGCACGTGCACATAGACATCAAAGGGGGCTTGAGCCCCTGCCCTTTTTCTTCCTCGAGAGAAAGTGCCCTTTTTTCTGGGGAGTGTATATATATATTATTATATATATTTTTTTTATTAAATGAATGTATATACATGTGCGTGTGTGTTTCTGTTTGTGCACTGCTTTCCTTCTCAAACAAATAAAAAATCAAAATATCGGGTCGGGAAATGTTGAGACTCTGTCGAGTTCCGATGCTCCCCTCCACGTCTCCGCGCAGCACAGCAGTGTAGCACACATTGATTGGCACATGACAGTCACAGACAGGCAGAGAGCCACAGAAGTGAAGCCCTCTCTTCCTTTCCAGTTGTGTTTGTCTTGGTGTGGAGGTGAGTGGTAATGAACAAAAGACTAAGCTACCTGTGCCTCGAATTTACAGCTAATTATCCAAAAGACAAAAGCCAATTATAGTTAATTTGTCTTGCTAACATCCATGACTCATGAGAGCTACCATATAAGTTAGCTAAAGTTTAGCTAAGGCAATAGGAAGTCTAGTTGGTTAGACCAGTGCGCGTTCTTTCACTGCATGATTGAGTTTATTAAAATGCATTTAGAATGATCACAAAATTCAAGATATGGGGGCAGATATGTATATATTTATATAATTTCATGCAGTTAATCAGTATTACACGGAAGACTTTATACAGCAGTTCAATAAACAATAATTTAATACACTTATGTTAGACACAATTGACTGTTTTTGCTGTATTACGCCAAAAAATATAATTCCAATTTGCATCTCTGAGCAACATGAAGGTGTTTTGTTCCTGAATTAATCAACCGTTTAAATGGTTCAGTCACAATGACTTGCTTATTAACAGTGATTTGCTGCCACCTACTTAATTTCACATTTACAATATCTTTTCATTTAAAAAAAAACTAAAAATCAAATATCAGTATTCAACATTTTATGTTTAAAATAACAAAACCGTATTAATGCATTTGTAACGGCAGGTTAAAACATTAATGACCTGCATTAAATGGTGTGTAAATGCATCTAAATGCTACTTCTAATGCAGCTTCTGTGTTTTCTCTGCATTGCAAAGATGAATTTTGTCAATACTATTTCATTTGCTTGGTAACAGCCCAAATGACTTGAAATAATATTAATTGACTGAATCAAGTTAAGAATTTGACTGAAAAGATGATGCACTCTTTTAGAAAAAATGGTTTTATAAAAGTAAAAATGAATACAAAAATATATATTTTAAACCTATTGGAAAAGATTAATTTCTATCACTGCTGTGAACTGATCACCACACAGAATATACAGAATATCAAAAACTTTAGGAGTCAGCTGTCCACGGTAGTCCTTAACATACACAATGACATACTCAGCAAAAGGTTGTCTAATTATCATTATCGATAAAATCCCAGAAAATATCGAGATATATTTTTGCCAATATCGCACACCCCTAATATATTTAATGTTTTGTTTTGGAAAAAATTAAAATAAATATGAGAGGTGCCCTTTTTTCCACTTGAGCCTCTGCCCCTCAAAATGTCTGTGCACGTCCCTGCTCCAACTCGTAATACAAACTTCAAGGACTTGAATGCACCATTTTTTTTTTTTGCTTAAGCACAAAATTCATATCGTTTGCATATCTGGTTTATCGTTTGAACCGGTATATTGCCCAGCAGTAGGCCTAATATTACTACAATTTAACCGTTTTCTATTTTAATGTATTTTTTAAAAAATTCTTATTTAATTTTAGCAGCAATTACTCCAGTCTTCAGTGTCACATGATCCTTTAGAAATAATTCTGATCTGCTGATATTTTACGCTTAAGAAACCTTTACTATTGTCAATGTTGAAAACAGTTGTGCTGCTTAATATATATATTTTTTTCATTCTTTGAATTGAAAGTTCAAAAGAACAGCATTTATTTTAAATAGAAATAGTTTGTAACATGTCTTTACTGTCCCTTTTAATCAATCAATTTAATGCATCCTTGTTGAATAATTTATTATTTTATTTTTTTTAAATCTTACCAACCTCCAGCCTTTGAACGGAAGTGTGTGTGTATATAAGCAATAAACCTGTGTGTTTAAATTGGTTTTAAAATATCTAGCAAGAAGCATCACATAAGACTTTCACAATCTGAATGA